CTCTCTCTCTCTCTCTCTCTCTCTCTCTCTCTCTCTCTCTCTCTCTCGCAGGTTTGTTTATCTTTTCTTTAAAAAAAGAAATTTCATTCAAGCTCTTCCAAGCGCCAACATCTCCTGCTTGAAAAAAGCAAAGGATTTCTTCAATCATTTTTAACTGAATGAGGCTGTAGAGACTGCAAAATGCAAGCATTCTGGTTGCTGTGGTTTTAGCCATGCCAGGTGTGGATGAAAGGCAGTCTTGCATAGGGTCCTCAGTACTTAAAAACAACAGCATATTGAGCAGATTAAATTAAAAAGAAAAATGCTACAATGAGTAATGTCAGCCAAACATGAACGTACTAGCCCAGACCTTAGAGCTGGGCCTGCCTGCAGGGGCCTCAACAGAAGGGACAGTAATGATAAAGCAGATGCAGACAGATGATGGGGAGAGGAGCAAACGGGTAGCAGTGTCCGCAGAGAAGTCAGCATGGCAGCAGCAATGGCACAATTGAAGCCTTGCTCCATTTCATATGAGCGATTTGCCATATGAGGGGGAGAAATGGCTATTCATAAGAACACTCATTGTGATTTTTCTTATGCTATTGTCTTGATGCTCTGAAAAATCCCCTTAATCAAATTACTATTTTCCAAAAAAGGTAACCATTTGAATTGGAGCAAGTGAAACAGACAAATACCATGATTTACATCTTCAAGTAACCTCCCCAACATATTACACTACAAATGTACAAAAATACTGCAAGCTTCATCTTTTTTTTGCACATTTCTTATTAGTTTTAGTTGAAGTATTATTTTTCTCATGTAATAGGGTTTTTATATACAATATTTAAAATTATTCTTGCTAAAATCAAGTGTACTATAAAACTGATATCGATCAGAATATTTTTTGGCGTATCAGAAGTCCCTTCTTTACTATTTTTTCCCACAATTATAAAGAGCAATCACTAAGAATTTGCTAAGAAAATAATTGCTAGAAATATTCCTTCAGCAGTCCATATGCTCATTTGTTTTACAAATACCTCCTTGCCTTTTTCTGCTCTACT